CTTTTTGGCAATAAATACCAGAGGTAGGTTTGGCGCACACAGAGAGATAGCCACATGGAAAAGATACTTGGCATCATGGACTCTATCAAATATCAATAGATATTAAATGAAAACCTGGCAGCTTCTGATAAAAAGTTTAAAATGGGCCGTGCTTGGATCGTACAGCAGGACAATGATCAGAGACAACCTCATCAGGCAATATATGAGAAGACTCAGCATTGTTATCTTGGCAAAGGGAGGTAGCACAAAATATTGACTTAAATGAATCAAATGATTCAAAATAAAACGAGTACAATGGTAGGGAATTGCCAAACTTGACCACTTGAACATGTCCACCCACTGGAGTGTATCTCTTGGTACACAGCGTATATCAACTTAATCAGTTTGATAGCTAAATAAGTAATGCAGTGGGATCTCCAATCAAATACTTTAATAAATACTTTGATAAGTGGGAGCAGAGACACCTACCTGGTTCACAGATTGAAAGGTTTTCTTCCTCTTTGGTTGCTCCATGGAGTTAACAGAAGCGACAAGCACACTCTGCTAATACACTCCTGCTTTCCCCTCTTCTGAATGAGTTGTACTACTGCTCCCTGAGAAGGATAGGAAAACTGCAGTTGAGGTGTCTGTTGAAGGCACTTGCGAAGGCTCTGAAATGGATGTGACGTCGCTCTTGTCTAAGCACAAGGCCCGAGATGGTGGCTTTTCTGCATCATCTTTTAACGCAGAGACTCGAAGATAGAGCTGTTTGCTCTTATTGGCTTAGTCGTCATGGTACCTAGCTCTGTAGGCTAGCTATATAGAGTCATGAATGTGGGTATCAAGCTGTGACAACATACTGTAGTACAATGCTAGTCCCGGAACAACAGGCTCAAACGTCCTTCTTCATTGAGCTCATAACCATGCCCTTTTTGTGTATTTATCTGAACAAAAGATCAAAAGGTTAAACAATAATGACAAATTTTAACAGCTTTCTTTGCTCATACTTACCAAGGGTGCCAATATTAGTGGAGGACATTATTTATGACTATATATACAATGCGCCGATATAACAGGAGTATTGTGGTACATAATGATCAATTTTTATTGGACTGACAAACCTATATTAAAGGACAAGACTTTGTGAGTCCCCTTAAGTCAGAAGCAATACATAGTATCATTCCCCTTGGTCTGTGCCCTAAAGAAATCCAAGACTTGCTGGCCCACATCTGGGACATCAACCAATAAATCCCACTGAGATAAACCCATACTCATCTGTGCACATCCCAGATATTACTTGCGATTTTACAGATCAATAGCCTTCTTTCAAACTGTCAGTGCGTTTAAAAAAAAAAAAAAAATTCTGGAACATGGACGAGTTAAACTACTTGTAATTCTAGTCTTTCTATCCATGGCTGTGCTACAGGTCTGAGTACCAGCACCTATTTTAAGAGCTGAATGCCAAATGCAAGAGAGCACTAGAACCCTTTAATGCCCTAGTGGAGGACAACATGGAAACTTTTATTCCCGTAAATAAGAGCACTGATTGGAGATATGAAAGGTGAAGCACATATTGTTGAATGACTAATCAAGACATAAAGAAATCTCTCAGTTGGAGAACAGCTCACTGTCTATTTATCTGATTTGTATCATGAAAGACTTGTTTTCGAGGCCTGTTACCTAGTTACTCATTTTTCCTCCTACATTGTATTCAGTTTAAAAATACAACAAAGAACAGCAGACATATGTTTGGTGATACAAAAACACATCATAGCCGAATGTGACTGAAAACTGTTATATAAGGAGTTTATACAGAGACTTTCAGTTTTTCAGTCTGGTTATTACAATACTTCTAACACCATGTAATTCTGATTAAATTTACATTTACAAACTGTTGTTACATGTCTTTAATAGTGTAATAACTATAAGTATGTTACATTATTTATTAACATACAAAAGATGTGCATTGTAGATAAAGCACTGCGAGTAAAAGTTAAAGGAGCCATTAATAACTCTTCGTGTATAATTATTTTGAAGTATGGCACTTTGTACTTTTGTTCCAAATGTTCTATATGATTCTAATTGAAGTATACATTATGGGTTGCAGTACTTCCTGCAGACTTATCTTTTCTGGGTGGCGCTAAACGTGACTATTTGCTATTTTACATAATGCATCTTAATAATAACCCTAAGGTTCATCCAGAAAGCATACTGACCCTACACTTCTGCTCTATCTTAAAGAGACACTCCGGTCACCATCTAAATAAAGTTGTTATGGTGCTGGGGTCCCCCAGGCACACTTTTACCTTAAGAGGTTAAACCGTTCTAGAAAAGTTTAACCGCAAAACTTGCGTCCAGCGCTGATCTCCAGGTCTCCCAGGTGACATCCGGCTTCTAAATCCAAGTTACAGGACGCGCAGAGTGCCACTGGGCAGGGCCGCAGCTGATTGGCTAGAATGGTCACCTGATGCTCTAAGCCAATCAGCAGCTCCCTATTGATAAAAAAATAAACATTTTATCATTTGGATGAAATAGTTATGGTGACTTTTAAAGGGACAATCAAAACCACTAGTTTCTAAAGAATATCTGTCTGACTGTCTGTCTATTAAGAATATATTTAATTTCTCTATTCCTTTGTCCAGTGAAGTATAACAGCGTCACTCTGAATGTTTGTACGTTATATTGTCATGATGCGATGCCAGCTGTCTAACAAGCAGGGGAAAAGTTATTCGCAAATATTTGTGTCGCCGAGGTTGGCATTTAATGACATAGGGCTCATTTCAAGCAGTTTACAAACATTTACCAGCACGTTGGTAACAGCTTAAGTAGCAGTCACTGTGATTAGCTATAGCTGTTTAATTTAATGAATGGTAATAATGGCTGCCGAAGGTTTTAAAATCTCCAGTAGAGATTAAGAGGAGTGATTCGGTGCTAAGTAACAACAGTTTTTCCATGTTAAATGGTAACTATGGCCACTTGCTGCCTCTTTCTGACTAAATAACGCACCTAACTGAAAAAAATAATAACACTAAAGCATTAAGAATACAAACTGGTATTCCTAAAATTTTCGTGTTTTTGCCCATAGGTAGGATGTTTCCCCTGCCGCTTGGCATACAAATAATAAGGGTGGAGGGGCGGGGCCGGGCCGCCGGGCCGACTGGCCGCCATTTACATGGGCTCCGCCATTAAACCTCCAGAAAAAGCCCTTCACACAGCCCCAGACTGATTAAAATACAAAATCCATCTCGTCCCTGACGGAGGAGAGGCTCCGGTACACGCCTGCCACCCGCACGTACCTTACTGCCTGAGAGCCGGCGGAGAGAACCGAGCCTGGCCTACACGCGGCTCCTAAACATCGGCGTCCGTTACCAGCAGCATGGCACTGCGGAAAGGCGCATCATTGGGGTACCCCCCCCACAGGACAGGCACTTCAGGTGCGGGGGGCCCCCGGCCCGGCCCTGCCCCCCCCCCTTGGCCGGCGGGGGTTAACCCGGCCACATGACGGCGACACGGGCCGCAGTGGGAGCCCCCGCACGGACTCTGTGCCGACCGCCTACACTGGCAATGGCCGAGCACTGGCCAACCAGCCGGCCAGCCAGCTGAAAAGAGCACTGAAACTGGGGAGAGGAAACCTACATATGAGAGGGCACCCTGACAGGGACGGAGACGTTTTCAAACATGTCAGGGGAGACTCACCTTCATGGAGCGGCTACCCCGCATTGCTTCGATGGCCCCAACAGCTGCTGCCCTGCAGAGGGATACCCTGGGCGGCCTGCCCCCTGGAGAAGTACCAGTCCCTGCCTTTGGGTTTCGGGGGTGGCCCAGGGGAGATTGTCCCTGCCGCAGTGAGTCCTGTGGGACGGGAACGCACAGACCTTTCCGGTGTACCGGTGGCCGTGAGGAAGGTGCCCCAGTCCTAAGTGTGTGGCCGGCGCCAGGTGAGACATGAGGGTCCAAGTGCTTCACAGAGGCTGAAGTGGTGCTGGGGAGGTGCAGGAGACAGTCAGAACCTGGACTCTAGGTGTGGGGGGTCTAGGGGACAGATTTGGACTTTGAGTGCCCACGGCACCACAGTACGCTAAACCGGCGGGATGGGTCAGCCCCAGGGAGGACTGATGGAGGACAGGCATGCTTGAAGGCCCATGGGGGCAACCACGGAGGTAGCTCACTTATGGTGCAATTGACACTGCTCTCCTTAACCTATTATCTGCAACGACACAGCGCAGCATGTTCCTACTCCCCATGAAGTGACTCACTTTTTCCCATCACTGTTGGCAGCAAATGCACTATGACACATCTGCAACCTATGTTTAGGTTATAAAAATCTTGTTTGCCTTCAAATACCTGCATGGCATAACTAACCACCGTCTACATCAGATTGCACGTTATGTGATGGACATCTCCATTGAAATTACATTCGCCTGTTTATACAGTGCTTCACTTACATTGCATAATACTACTAGCCTCTGTTATAGTTCTTACAGTTGATTTCCAATTTTTTTTTTTTTTTTTTATTGCACTCATTGTTGTTGCAGGCCTATGCCAAAATTCATTATACACAGTTAAGAGACAAACGGCTTCAGCGAACATAGGCTGCATGTTAGCCATAGTAATCAAATTACTGGCAAACCAAATACGAATATGGCATGTGACACAACTTATATTGGAATTGTCTATAGGATGACACAAGTGGCTTTAGCAAGCACATACAACATCGGTGCCCTATGGTACCCAGAAGCTATATGGTACGATGCTGTAGTTAGTTATCCATCCACTGACCCATATTAAACATATGATTGAAAGGCAAAGTTTACTTAATTGCATAGGGTTACATATACTGAAAGCTTTACCACAGGCTTAGTTAGACACAATTTGACCGCATAGTGATATATTAGGCCCCATCTTGAACTCAGCCGACGCAGAGGAAGGAGAAGGGGGAAAGAAAAGAAGAGAAGGGAAAAGAAAAGGGGAAAAAAAAAAAGAGAAAAAAAAAGAGAAAGGGAAAACATATTCAAAGTGTACCACATTATAGGGCTATAACATGCTATGATAAACTTGTACAACTTACATTGGAATTGTCTATAGGATGACACAAGTGGCTTTAGCAAGCACATACGACATCGGTGCCCTATGGCACCCAGAAGCTATATGGTACGATGCTGTAGTTAGTTATCCATCCACTGACCCATACTAAACTTATGATTGAAAGGCAAAGTTTACTTAATTACATAGGGTTACATATACTGAAAGCTTTACCACAGGCTTAGTTAGACACAATCTGACCGCATAGTGACATATTAGGCCCCATCTTGAACTCAGCCGACGCAGAGAAAAAAAAAGAAAAAAGAAAGGAAAACATATTTCAAGTGTACCACATTATAGGGCTATAACATGCTATGATAAACTTGTACACATAACTACTCATGTTTTTCCATAACAAATGCACGGTTTACGTTATATCCCCTGCGTGGGAAAACTGCTTCTTGTGTTGACCTCAATAAAAACAGATTTAAAACAAATAATAAGGGTGTTTACTTAGTCTAGTCTTTCTAGTGGCTCTCTCGGCGCTGCTTATCTCTCCTCCTCCCGCTGTGTCATAAATGAAGCATGGTGTCTTGCAGAGTTGGTCAAATCAAATGCTCCTCATAGAGGATCACTGGGGACCTGATGTGCATGCACTGTGTTTTTTACACATGGTAGTTGTTCGATACATAGGGATCTACCTTTTGACCACTCTTGCTATAGAAAGGGCCCTCTCTACATTAGTTCTGCTGCTGTAGTGGCTGTCAGTAGCTGCAATGTTTAAACCTACAGGACCACAGCAGCAAGTCCGCATCATTGAGATGAAATGGCCTGGGTGACTATAGTGTTTCCTTAACATACAGTCTAGGAGTAAACTCTATTTGCCGGGAGTCAATTGCAGGGTCTGCACCTGCTTTGAACATCCAATAATAAAAAAATAAAATAAAAAAAATGCAAAATAGCTGACTTCCACCAGGAGAGGCTGTGTAAAAACAGGACCTTGAATTGAATGACGATTAGCATCTTGTCTGTACTGCCTACTACTATTTTAATCATCATTCACTAAAGGTACTGTTTTATACACTACAGTCAGCTATTTACCTCTTTTTGTGTATATTCAAAATCACACCTGTTTCAACAAGGTGTAAAGAGAAAAAGGCAAGTTAACAACTTGACACTCTCAACATACACCAAGGGTGCCCGAAAGGAAGATCCCACATGTTTTAAAACTACAGCTCCCATAATGCTTTCTCATTCTAAAGACATTCTAGATGCATGCATTGCATCATGGAAATTGTATTTCTCCAACATTTGGAGATCTACCTATTGGGTACCGCTAATATACACTTACCAGCCCCAAGATTAAAACCAACTTTCTAATACCATGTAGGTCTCCCTATTGCCATTAAGGAATCTCATTGCCATGAAGGGGTTTACATGGTCTGCCACAATCTCTAGGTAGGTGGTAAGTAACATCCACATGAATGCCAAGACCGAAGGGTTTCCAGGAGAACATTGCTCAGAGCATTACACTGCCTGTGCCGGCATGCCTTCTTCCCATAGTACATCCTACTGTCACCTTTTTCCCAGGTAAAGGATGCACACACACCCAGCCATCCACCTGATCTAAAAAAAAAAAGTGATTCTTCAGACCAAGCAATCTTCATGGTCCAGTTCTGACTCTCACATTCCCACCAAAGTGATTTTGACAGTAGAAAGGGGTCATCAAGAACCCGCTAACCGGTCTGTTGCTCTGCAGTCCCATACGCAACACACTGCGAAGCACTTTGTGTTCTGACAACTTTTTGTTATTATTTTTTTCACTTGCCCATTTCTGGCTCAACATGTCTTAGTCGTTCACTCTCCCCCAGAACACATCGCTATGCACAAACACCTCGCCTATAATCCAGCATGCTACCTGTGCTGTAGCCTTGTTCACACCATAGGTGAGCCTCATCTGTACAATCAAGATATATAGCTAAATACATTAAAGGACCACTATAGTGCCAGGAAAACATACTCGTGCCAGGCTGGATGGCGAGGAAAGGGGTTAAACTTACCTTAATTCCAGCGCCGGGCGGGGAGCTCTCCTCCTCCTCTCGGCCTCCGATCCTCCTCTTCGGCTGAATGCGCATGCGCGGCAGGAGCTGCGCACGCATTCAGCCGGTCTCATAGGAAAGCATTTACAATGCTTTCCTATGGACGCTTGCATCTTCTCACTGTGATTTTCACAGTGAGAAGCACGCAAGCGCCTCTAGCGGCTGTCAATGAGACAGCCACTAGAGGATTTGGAGGCTGGATTAACCCATTTATAAACATAGCAGTTTCTCTGAAAAGGGATTAATCCTAGAGGGACCTGGCACCCAGACCACTTCATTAAGCTGGATAGTCTGAGCTATATGCTATCTCTCTCTACTACAACTAAAAATGTACAACGTATGTTATACTAGGTTTCAATCTCTTCTTAAGATTTAACAAGTTCTCAAGTTATCTTAAACAAAATATAGTGCACAGTAACTACCTGCCATACCTTTGTACCATTATGCCTAACTACACTGCTCAAAAAATAAATAAAGGGAACACTAAAATAACACATCCTAGATCTGAATGAATTAAATATTCTTCTGAAATACTTTGTTCTTTACATAGTTGAATGTGCTGACAACAAAATCACACAAAAATTAAAAAATGGAAATCAAATTTTTCAACCCATGGAGGTCTGGATTTGGAGTCACACTCAAAATTAAAGTGGAAAAACACTCTACAGGCTGATCCAACTTTGATGTAATGTCCTTAAAACAAGTAGTGTGTGTGTGGCCTCCATGTGCCTGTATGACCTCCCTACAATGCCTGTGCATGCTCCTGATGAGGTTGCGGATGGTCTCCTGAGAGATCTCCTCCCAAACCTGGACTAAAGCATCTGCCAACTCCTGGACAGTCTGTGCTGCAACGTGATGTTGGTGGATGGAGCGAGACATGATATCTCAGATGTGCTCAATTGGATTCATGTCTGGGGAACGGGCGGGCCAGTCCATAGCATCAATGCCTTTGTCTTGCAGGAACTGCTGACACACTCCAGCCACATGAGGTCTAGCATTGTCTTACATTAGGAGGAACCCAGGGCCAACCGCACCAGCATAGGTTCTCACAAGGGGTCTGAGGATCTCATCTCGGTACCTAATGGCAGTCAGGCTACCTCTGGCGAGCACATTGGAGGGCTGTGCGGCTCCCCAAAGAAATGCCACCCCACACCATTACTGACCCACTGCCAAACCGGTCATGCTGGAGGATGTTGCAGGCAGCAGAACGTTCTCCACGGCGTCTCCAGACTCTGTCACGTCTGTCACATGTGCTCAGTGTGAACCTGCTTTCATCTGTGAAGAGCACAGGGCGCCAGTGGCGAATTTGCCAATCTTGGTGTTCTCTGGTGTGATTGACTTGGAGTTACATTGTGTTGTTTAAGTGTTCCCTTTATTTTTTTGAGCAGTGTATTTCTGTCTGTTGATGCTGTTGTGGCACCACATTCTTGCTTGTTATCACCTGCACTGCAAAAATAAAGAATTAAAAAACAAACAAACAAAAAAAACATGTCTTAGTCATTGGCAACACTGGTGGACCAGAATGTTTTTTTTACAAGAGAGTAACACTCGTGAGGTTATGAACAGGTAGCAGTGGAGCAAACGTCTCCTATGAACATCTACTTTCCTTAAACGTTTCCAGGTAAAGTGTGCATTTGCTGAGTGAAATTTGGTCCTGGTAGTGTTGCTATGGTGATAAACTGGAAAACATATATTTTTCTTTAGTCCACAGGGGCAGTAAGTGATAACTTCACTAAAGCATAAAATGTGAAAATTAACTTTAAAGGGATACTCTAAGCACAGAACAACTTTAGCTTATTGAATCAGTTTTGGTGTATATATCATGCCCCTGCAGTTTCAATCCTCAAGTCCCTGTCATTTAGGAGTTAAATCACTTTGTTTACGCAGTCTTTTATGTAACTCAGATGGTTTAACGTCCCTTTTTGCACAGTGTATCTCCTGCTGTGTTAGCTACCTGCTAGAGCTAAAAGCAGCCTCATGTGTGGTTGAAATTTAGTTAACAAGAGGGAGATACGGTCTTTTAAAGTAAACACACTGTGCCATAAAAAGGAAACTTTTTTTTTCCATGGAGGCTGTGTGAGTCCCAGGCAGCGTTGCTGTGACTAGGGCTGCATAAACTCAGTGTCTGAGCTACTAACTTGCAGAGAATTGAGCAATTGAGCAGAGAATTGAGAATTGACTGCAGAGACATGATTTATTAAAGGGACACTCTGGTCACCATAACAACTTCATTTAAATTAGTTGTTATGGTTCCAGGAGGCCCCTGGGAACACTCTTACCTCAAAGGGTTAAGCCATTCTTAAATCTTCAGTTACAGGAAGTGCGTAGTGCTGCTGGACAGGGGTGCCCCTGATCTTTTTACAGGTATGTTTCTTTTTTTATCACTGAGGAGCTACTGATTGGCTTAGAGATTCAGAAGCCAAATGCCACGCGGGAGACCTGCAAATCGAGGTTGAAGGCACACTTTGGGGTTAAACTGTTCAAGAATGGTTTAACCCCTTAAGGTAAGAATGCACCTGAGGGCCTCCTGGCACGATAACAATTTGATGGGACTCCCCCATACAATGCTTTATTAATTCACGATTCCAGAGAAGGGACAAGACAGTAGTGGCTTGAAAATCTAATTTCTTTTAGATTACGTTGTTATGGTGCTCATGTATAATTTTAAGAATAAATGGTAAGATAAAGTGATAGCCTATAAGAAAGTTCTGCAGGATTAAAACAGGAGACTGGTGAAATAGTATAGATATACACAATATATTGTGTTAGTTTGAGAGACTATGATATATTCCACTTAAGGCAATGAGTTGTATTATTGGCATTGTGATCGCAGACGCCAACATTTCAAGCCTTATTATGACTAATCGTCATGTATAACTCATACGGTTTTCTGAAATTATAATACTTTCTTACAGGAATGCATCTGCCCTATGGACTCATTTCTCAGAGATTCAACTTTTACAAATAACACTGGAAAGAAAGGGTATCTCCAAGGAAACTGCTTTAATAGCAGACACTTAACTAATCATTGCTCTTCAATTCACAGCCAGAAAGGAAGAGAGATTTAATGAATCACTGCAAATGTTACCCTAAAATATATATCACAGGAGCTAACTCCACAATTAAGTAATTATACTGCATCTTACACATACACACAACACACAACAATCCCATCTACTGACACACCAAGGCACAAAGAGCATTGTATGACAGAGAGAGTCAGCATTTGGATCCGTAAAGTATAGAATGTATTAAGAATCAGCACAGCCTGTGACTCATTCCTGACATTCTAAATCATGTATACTGTCATTCTACTGTACGATTGGATAACGACAAACTATCCTCCTGATATTTCAGCTGGGGCATGGGGCA